AGAGAGAGAGAGAGAGAGAGAGAGAGAGAGAGAAAGAGAGAGAGAGAGAGAGAGAGTTCTTCTTCTTCCTCTTCTCAGTCCACCATCTCCTTCTCACCTTCTCGCTACCTGACTTCACTGCATCAGCAGACTAAGAGAGAGAGAGAGCGGGATTGGTGACAGTTGGATCCGGACTCGACATTGGGCTCCAGACATTTGAGGAGGGAATATCTGGGACTTGTACCAAAGACTTGGTGTTGACGACATTCCCATCTTCCCCCTCTTCTTCATCTGATCCCCTCCTCTTCGTCTGTGTATGGTTTGGACCTGGCGCATTCTTCCTATGTGCAGCGCCAGGCCCCTTCACACCTTGTGATGAGGATGATGTATGTTGGGTCTGCATTGTGACATTGGTTGGGTTAGTCATTGGTATTCTAGCATTTCGCTACGCTGTCCTGTACTACGTGAGGGAGGTCAGTCCCGGTCAGGTCAGGACTTTTATTTAAGTCTTCCACTGCGCTACCAAGCACCATTCTGTATGTATCAGGATGTACACTGCTTGTTGAGATTCTACTAGCACTGCATTGTCCATTCAGTCCTTTTCATCACATTGCGGATCCTTGGCTATATATGCACATCGCCCAACTGGGGATGTAACAACTGCACTCAACTCTCTCTCTCGCCCACAACCCCGCTTCTTCTTCTTCTTCTCCTTTTTTCCTGTTTTCCAAAAAAAAAAATTCTCTCTCTTCCCTCGGTGATCACATCGTGTTCTTCTCTTGCGTTTCCTGAGTAGGCATTCTCATTCCTTTCTGTGCACAGAGCATTCACATCTTTTGCGCTATCATTGTCCCGTAGGATGTTGGAAGCCTTCTCCGCTAGGAGAATAATCCTTGAAGTGGATTTATGGTGGATGACACCTTCTTCGGATGGTCTTGCAACAATCCGATAAAAGCGTATGTATGCGAACCAAGAAGATTTTCAGAGATTTCAATCTCGAGCAGTGGTCAAAGGACTATGATGATGCCAGATGCCCTTGCAGATCGCAGAGATATGCCACACTTCTCAGCAACAATCCTCTAGAACTCATTCCCGGGTCATCCTCGGGTCGTCACACCGGAGATCACCCCTCGGCATATCGGCATAAGGCCCTGCAGTAGGCGCGTGCCCGCCCTAAGTGAATGCGGGCCCCCTGAATCTTAATGAGCCCTGGACTTGTCAATTTTTGCAAATCTTGGTGGGCGCCAGAAAGTTGCCACTCGCCAGTTGGTTATATCCGCCTTGCTCGTGAGAAGCCGAAATATTAGTGAGCCTTCCAGGCTCTTCCCAGCATCGTGGCGAAAACAGGGAACACCGCACGCTTGTGCCTGGGTGGCTGGGCATGCCCCCTTAATTCGGTCCCAGGTTAGTTTTTGAACGGGCCTGGGCGTAGACACTTTGGCAGAGACTGAAGCTACTGGAAACTGGGAATCACAAGGCAAGTGGGTGGCAACGCGCCCCGCCACTTTACATATAGGAAAGGGCAGGGCTATGGGGCAGACATTCGGGCACGGCGCAATGCATGTCGCGGCGCTGCTTGAGTGTGTGCTTGCAGGCTGTGCGCTGTGCACTGTGCACTACCTTTTTCCCTTGAATACAACGTACGGTCATTATAGATGTATTTGGGTAATTTCCGGTCTGGTTACAACAATAATGAGCGTACATTGTATTTGGGTGAAGAAGGTAGCGCCAGGTGCAACGCAGGCGCACGCGGACGTCGGTGATGGCCTACAGGGTCGACATCTTCATGCACTTCGGTTGTTGCTGCTGACGTCAACAGGTTGCATTGTCAGTTTGTAGGCTGGTAGTAGCTTTGTGATAGTAGTCTGGGCGCTGAGCGCCAAGTAGGAGGAAGGGCTCTGGATACATATCTTGGTGGTGGCGAGAGAATGCTCTCATTGACATTTGGATTCGGTGCTTTGGCTTGCCATTGGTGGATAATGAGTGTATTTCTGCTTTCTGAATAGCATTGGACTTTCTCGCTTTCAATGTGATTTTGCATTCTCGATTTTTGCCATATCGCTATCGCTCATTTTCCTTGCACTAGGAAGAAATTGCGATTAATCAGTAAAACTTAATTAGGTTACCAATTCCTAATCAATCGATCAATCGATTTCAGTCAATCAGTTCTTCAATCGATCAGTCAATCAATTCTTCAATCAACCAATCAATCGATCCTCCTAATCGCTAGTCGGGTCTGTGAATCCTGATTCACTTGTGCAGCTCCGATACCGACTGATACATGCTCGATACAAGTCGAGCGATGTAAATGGAGCCATGGATCAGCAAAGTGATGACATGGACTCGAATGGACAATGCAGCATCAGCGAAGCATCAACAAGCAATGTACATCCATATACATACAAAAATCTCACAATGTAGCGCAGCGGGAGACTCAAAGATATGACCTGACCTTACAGATACTGACACGACTCAACCCATCACACACCACACATGTGAGAGGGAAGGAGGAACCACACACATAGAAGAAAGGCCTGTCCTTGGAAACACACATGGGGAGATACCACCGATGAGGTGAGGGAGGAGGAGCAAGACGAAGATGGAGACGAGGGAGAAGACCAAGATTCCGATAGCGAAGTCCAAAAATAGTCTCCCTGCCGAATGTCCAGTCAATGTCTGGCGCTATAATGTCGAGTCAGATCCTGGGCCTCATAGCCCGATATAACCTATGCCTGTAACCTCTCTCTCTCTCTCTCTCTCTCTCTCTCTCTCTCTCTCTGAAAGAAGAACAAGAAGAAGAACAAGAAGAAGAAGAAGAAGAAGAAGAAGAAGAAGAATAGTGAAAAACACTGGCCATAGACTGCTTCTTGCACACGCATCAACAAAATATTTCAATACTTCTCCGCATGTATAGTTCTCAGTTGAAAACGCGCAAATTCCCTGACGCGTTTCGGCCAGGCTGCGCCCCCGGCACTCCTCAGGGGGTGTTACATGCTGAAAGCCTACACACGGGCCCCTCACGGGACCCGAGGTTGGAATAGGGCCCCCAGGTCGCGTCACCGCAACCTGAAGGCCTTATGGCATTCTTACTTGGGCCTGCATCAGAAAAACGCCAGCTTTAGATTATTTTTATATTCTTTTATTTATTTATTTGCTGCTGTTTTTCTAACGG